CCCCCCCCCCCCGTGCCCAGCCTGCCCCCCCCCATCTCCCCAGGCCCCTCCCCGGACCTGCTGAGCTCCCAGATGCGGACGGCGTTGCCCGAGGCGGCGTACAGCATGGTGCCCGAGGGGCTGAGCGCGATCTGGTTGATCTGGTGCTCGCCCTGCGCGCTGGTGAGGGCGCGTGTGGAGGTGGCTGCGCAGGCGTCCCCCGAGATCACCTGACCCGAGGACCTGCCCGGGAGGGCGGGAGGGAAGGGAGGCGAGGTCAGAGATGAAACCGGTCCATCCGCACCGGCCAGCAGACCCATCTCACCTCCCTCCGAGCAGGCCCGTAAGCCACTGCCTCCAGGAAGCCTTCCCTGATTGACGGATGGGAGCCGCCGCTTCCCCCGAGACCCACGCAGAACTCAGCTCCACTCCACCTCGGTGGACGAAAGGCCCTCAGACCAGGCTGTCCTGAGTAGGGCCCCCGGGCGGCCAGCACCCCCCGTCTCCCCACCCCCCCCAGGGAGGAGCACCTACGTGAGGGTGCGGATGCACTTGGCCGAGTCCCGGATGTCCCACACCTTGATGTAGGAGGTGGACACGGAGAAGACCAGCCCCGAGTGGCTGCAGTACTTGATGGAGACCACGTTGTTGGGGTGGCCCTTCAGGGCGGCGATCTCCTGCCCCGTGACCAGGCCCCACATCTTGCAGCTGCGGTCTGCGGGGGGGGGCTCTCCTGCTTCTCATGCCCCAGAGCAGCCTGGAGGCGCCTGAAGGGGCAGGGTTACACATTGATGAAGGAAACCTCGGAGAGCCAAGGGCCTGCCGCCTGCGCCTGCCTGCGGGGAAGGGAGGGTGGGTCAGAACGGGCCCAGACAAGGGAACCAGGGGGAAGGACACTTTGCAAAAGCTGTGCCCTGGCCCGGCCGGCGTGGCTCAGTGGCTGAGTGTTTTTTTATGGATTTCAGAGAGGAAGGGAGAGGGAGAGAGAGAGAAACCTTAATGATGAGAGAGAATCATGGATCGGCTGCCTCCTGCCTGCATACCCCCTACTGGGGATCGAGCCTGCAACCCGGGCCAGTGCCCTCGACTGGAATCGAACCCGGGACCCTGTGGCCCACAGGCCGGCGCTCTACCCACTGAACCACACCGGCCGGGGCGACACCCACCTTTGGATCCGGTGAAGAGCAGCTCGTCCGTGGCGTCCAGGCAGAGGATGGGCTTGGTGTGGCCCTCGGCCATGGAGACGCACTGCAGCGGGGCCGTCCGCCCGCCCTTCGCCGCTCCGACCGGCGTGATGATCCCCCTTCGGACAGAGGGAGAGAGGA